GGCCCAGATGCAGGACCTTGCACTTCAAAGTGCAACAAAACAGATAGTTTTCGTGTGGAACAACAACTTTATAAAATTAGATCTTCTCATACCTAACATTTTATTATTGATGGGTTTTAAAAATAAAGTGAACCCCAATCACCCAGAAATTCACAAACAACACTACCATAACCACACAAGTCTGTTCTGTTAGTGCAGGCAAATGTCTCACTGAATACAACTGAACAGAAGGCCAAAAGGACTGCTAGATGTTACCTGTAGTACTCATGTTTATCTTTGGAGTACATGAGCTGATCAATGCAGGGCCTTTCATCTATTTTTTCTTCCCATGTTCCTTCTTTCCATCCTTCTGCGTAGCCTTGTAGCACATAGATCTGTTCAATAAAGGGTCCACCTGACTCTGAGCAGAATGTAAAGCAAAGGATATGTGAGCATTGAAAAACCACATGATAAAGGTATGGAACTAATATTACTTGCAGCTAAAAATCTGCTAGAAATGTTAATATTACATATTTCTTCCCTGTTTTCCCTATAAAAAAAGGAAAGTAAGTTCTGTATGAGCCAGAAAAGCTAAAAGGGTCAGGTGATGTGACAACCTGGTACTCCCATTCAGCTGTGTGAGAATCACTGTGGAAGTGTAAATTTGAAAGCTGGGTAAAACATACCACAAGGCACAAAGGTTTCCAATGCTGTAGGTACCTGCCATGGGACGAGTGCCTCCAGGAGAAACAACAAGTACAAGCCTTTCTTCCCCTAAACTTCAGGGTCTCTAAATGTTTTTTCCGGAAAGGTACGGGACAACAATGCCTCCAGAGCTCTTTGCAGAGGTGTGACACTTGGTGGCCTTTACTTCCTTTGCTGAACAAGCCTGTGACACCACTGTAGATTGGGGCATTTGGTGATTAGATCAACATGACATTAAATCCTAAAAGAGCTAACTTCAGATATTCTCATTCTTCAGGTATTCTCATGGAAAGCCTTTCTCTTATACACAAAAAAGCAAGGTATAAGTATTTTGAGTACACACAACACTGGCAATGAAAAAATAAGTTCAGAGAAGAACCTGCTGTACAACTCTTACTCTCCAACCACTTCCAGGGAAAGGTGGTTTGCTGTTATTTCAGCAGGCTGCCTATTTCTCTTTACAGGGTTGTCCCTGTTGTCAAAATGATGCAGAATTATCTCTGAATTTAACCATAGGCATTAACTGTCTGTCTCTAGAGGCCCTAGGAAGTCGAGTGGACAACAGTGCTATATCAAGCAAGCTGCCAAATAATTGGGTGGTTTCATCCTGGTGGCTTTGTTACTCAGCACAATCCCTTCCCATCCCTCCTCTCACCACCTCTACCTGTTTTTATTTCACTTATCAGGATAAAACCACCTATAAGGACTAAGCTGTGAAGAAACCATCTCAAATATTTAGTTAACTGTAGACTGCATAATCCTATACTCTACCTGCAAGGAACTGCTCATATTCGATGACAGGGATGTTCCTGTTGAGGCTTGGGATATCAAAGAACTCAGACCAAGGGATCCGGTCCTGAAGGATGTCAGGGCTCTGCCAGTGATAAAGACGCCCCCAGGGAGGCAGAACTAACACCCAGTTTTCACTTTTCCTCAGGGTCTTTAGAAGGGAAGCAAGTCGAATGTAGACATCTCTTCGAAGGTTGAACCCTTCGGGAGGATTTACATCGTACAAAAGGTATCTGGGGAGAACAAAGGAATAGCATTACTTCAGGGAGGACTTCTGAGACTTACATGGGGTGTTTTTTTTAACCCCACCATCATGTGACACAACTCTGTTAGGTTGGAAACTTCCTCTTTCATGAGTTTGTGGCACTCAGAAGAAGGAAGGGGAAGAAGTAAGGGAAGGGAGAGCAGTGTGTGCTGCAGGGGCTGGGGAGGCCATTGGAGTTTCCCCATGGAGCATCACCAAGATGGAACATGTCTCAAGCTTTTCCTGCATCACCAAGGTGGCACATGTCACTAGCCTTTCCTGCACTGAGGCACGATGAGGGAGGCTAAGGAGTGAACCCCTCAGATGTCTTGTTCATCCTGAGGGTAACATGGTATGTGTGGAGAGAATGGTGAAACAACTGGCATGTTACTCCGGCTAAACCCTGCGAGCTAGATACAAAGGCAGGAGGACATGCTCTGGGAGAAAGGGATGCAGCTCGGGATTGGATGATCCTTGTGGGTCCCTTCCAACTCAGGCTATTCCGTGGGGTCCCCAGAGGTCAGGGCAGGAAAGCATCCAGACAGCTGCAATGACACATCTGACAGAAACGACCCAGAAGAGCACCAGCAGGCAAAGGAGCTCCTGAACTAGCCGACGGCTCGGAGACGCGGCGGGTCGCCTGTGCAAAGGAGGCGGGCGGGACCCGGCAGTGCTGCCTCTCCTCACCTGGTGCGCGGG